GAGGTAAAAAGTTTCCCAAGAGGCAAATGTATATTACTTTTAATTGTAGACCTAACTCAAAGTGTGCTGAGATCAGGTTCCTCTTACAAATAGCTGTGTCCCTTTAATCCCTCCTGGTATTGAGGATACCTGGGCACTTAACCACACTCAAGTAAGAGACAATTAATATCAACAGTAGCTGGAAAAACCAGACATTACAGGCAGGGAGAGAGAGACTTGCTAAAGTACCTCTAAAATATCCCTCAGATGGCAGGAAAATATATGTATAAACTGAGAGGATGCTGTTCAGAAGGTGCTAGTGAAGAGATGCCTGATCACAAACTGATCTACCCACACAGGCCATCACTGCAGCTGAGGTGAATTGCTGAGGTGCTCAAGGACCAGCAGCTGCTGCAGCTTCACCACTTAACTTCTGCCTTTCCCAGCCATCCTGACCACTTCTCCTTCCAGCCACGTCCTTCCCCTCAATATCAACCTGTGGGAAGCATTTGATGCAAACAGAAACAAGCCACGAGCCCTTAAAGCCTCCAGCTTTCCATAGCAAGTGCTCTAGATCAGCACCCATCACTAGACCAGACGTAGAGAGAAGCAGCTGGAGGCAGCCACTTCAGCACTGGTTCCATGAGCTGAGCAATGCTTTGCTCCCAGAGCTCAGATCCCTGCCCTTGGCTGCACAGCTGCCCCGTGCTGTCCCTGCTGGATCTAACTGGTGCTGGTTGCTCTTCCCAGGAGGCTCTGGCGTGTGTGGAGCTGCTGCAGAGCCTGGGGAGGCTGCTGGCAGAACACAGAGGAGACCCTGTGATTGTTGGCCACGCTGCTTGTATCATCACAAACCTGAGCCTGGCCACACACACACAGGTAGGTGCTCACTGGTTCTCACTGAACTGTACCCTGGGAGGTTGATGTGATGTTGATATCAAATTCCCTACAGAAAGGTGTTTGTTTAAATGAAACATACACCAAGGACATTGTGAACAAAACTCTGATTGAATCAAAGCACCTGAAGTGCCACAATGAAAGGGGTTTTTTTCATATTTTTCCAAAAATGCTAATGAAGAAATGTCTAATTTTCCCTACGAGTGATGTGGTTACCTAACTTGAATGACTGACTGCATCATAGGTATAAAATGTACTTCTAACAAAGACATTTCATACTAATTAATGGAACCAGTCAGGAAAATCTGAGGTTAGTTAAAAGCTGAATCCTTATTCCCTAAGTCTCACTCTTTGGCCGCCCTTGCTTTTCCCCCTGTGGTGTTCAGCACTGACCTAATTTCACTCCCAGTTGTTAAATAGGGCCCCAGCTACTGATACACAACGTATGTTGCCTGTTTGGCAAGATACTAGTTGTGCCACAATGCTATAAAGATCCCTGTTGCTGACTTTGCTTCTAATGAAACTTGGTTTCTAAAATGTGTCCCAGCACAGACACAGGCTGTTCAACACCACTCCTGGCACAGCAGGTTCAACCTAGAAGACAAGGGGTACACAGAAATGTTTAATTGCTAACATTCCTCTCCAGAAACAGAACTCACCTTTGCTAGTGAGAGGCCATCTCGTATTTTTGCAGACCAGAGCACTTTAACAGTACAAAGTTTTCAAAGCCCTGGAGGCCAGTAAGAGAAACTCAGAAACTTCCCCATTCCCCAGGGGTTTGCCCTGGAGTGCTCAGCTTAATCACCTCTGCAGCAGGACTGGAGCAGTGGCAGCTGAACAGGAACATACAGCAACAGGTCAGGAAACCGTGAGCTCAGAGTGATCTGTGGCCAGGAGAACATCTCACAGACAGAGAAGGCCCTGGGAAATGCCTAAAAATCAGGTGATGTCTGAACAATCCAAGGTGTTTGTTTTGTGGTGGATGTGGGAGGAGGTGTTTCCACTACTGGGCTGGTAGCCCTTGTTATTGTCAAGAGTTACTCAGTATTTCCAAAGTCCTCAGACACCACTAAACACAAGGGAAGTGCTAAATATGACCCTTTTCCTTGCAGGGTATCATTGAGAGCCCATGTGTTGAAGGTCTCCTCCAGACCATGCTTTCTACTGACCTTCAAGAAGACTCTCTTCATTATGTGACATCTTGCCTTGCTGAGCTGGCCAAACAAGGTAGGGAATCAAACCCACCACCACTCTGTCATCTGACAGGTGTAGGTATCCTTTGCTACTCCCAATGGGGATGGAGCACAGCTGGGCACACAGCCCAAGGCTTCCCTTTAAATTCACTGGCAGTTTTGCCACAAGCAGCATGAAGAGCAAGATCCATAATTAGCACTTTTTTTTCAGTTGAAATGTCTAAATTTTTTTAACTCAAAATTCTTTGCACTGAACTTTACTGCTGTACATGGTCTGTCTTTATTTGTTGTGTCACCCCATTTCTCCAGCTGAGTTCATTCTGCAATAGTAGAAACTAATATAACTAATATATACTAAATTACCAAGTGCCTCTTTACATTTTTAGCACATAGATTTTATGAGAGCTCCCAGATTACCACCAATGGAAGGCCCAGCACTGTGCATGGCAGGGAGGATCAGTGTGAGTTTTCCCAGCCTGCCCAGCACTGGATGTTGCCCATCACACATTTAATCTCTTGTATCTGGATAACTGCCCTGGCAACTTGTCACATTTCTGCAGGAGGTGCCCAGCAGCTGCTGGACAGACTGAGCCCACTGGGCAAGAGTGGAACTTGTACAAAACATGATTCATTCTTTCAGAAAACAAAACCAGCAAAATAAAAGTCCACCAGCCTTTCTACAAATCCAATCCATAGCAGCATAACCTCAGAAGATGACCCCTTTCTATAACCTAACCTTATGCCACAAGTTCAGCACTGACCTTTGCTTCTCCAGCTGTGTAAAGGATCAGGCAGTCTGGTTTCTGGCAGGCTTCTCACCACTTCTTCAGCATTGGACTTGCTGTTTACAAACCCTTCTCTGTCTTCCAGAAGGAGCCACATTACGCATGGTCCAGTGGATGGATGAACCCTTGACAAAGTGCTTGGTGAGCCTGGCTGGCCAACTGGAACATGCTGAGCCATCCTTTCAAGCTGCCTCCATCATCCACCACATGATAGGTCATGGTAAGTGTCACACAGCATTAACTGTGCTTCCAAAGGTAGCTACAGCTAGCTGGAGTGAAAGGAGCCTTTTCCCAAAGCAGTTAACTGCCAGGCACCAAACCACCCTTAACATTCCTGTAGCATCCTCCATCTGGTCTCCATAGACTTATTAGCATAAACATGCCTACAGTCACCCTTAAATTATACATGAAAAGTGCTTGAGTGTGTGAGAAAGCCAAGGGATGAAAATCATATGACAGACTGGTTTGGGTTGGAAGGAACCTTAAAGATCACCTCGTTCCACCCCCCCCTGTCACAGGCCTTGAATGCTTCCATGGAGGGGGCATCCATGACTTTTCTCAGCAGCCTGTTCCAGTGTCTTAGCACCCTCATAGTGAAGCATTTCTTCCTAATGTCTAACATGAATCTCCCTTCTTCTAGTTTAAGCCATCCACCCCCCATCCCATCCCTCCCTGCCCTTGTCCCAAGCCTCTCCCCATCTTTCCTGGAGCCCCTTCAGGCACTGGAAGGTGCTCTGAGGTCTCCCTGGAGCCTTCTCTTCTCCAGGCTGAACACCCCAACTGTCCCAGCCTGTCTTCATAGGAGTTCTGATCCAGGTATTTGTTGCCTTCTTCAATCACTACTATTCTGCAGGGCTAGACAGTCCTAAAGTCCTTAAAAACTGAAGTAGGAAGGTGGGATACCAAAATACTCATTGTCCAGGGGAAGATGAGAGCACTTTTCAGGCAAGAAATATTGCTGCATCTGTGTTTGATCCTCCATATCATTGTGTCCTGGTTTGAAAGGACCAGGAGAAAAATTGCCTCTGGTTTCTACTGACCTGCTGTTATGGGCTAAAACTGTGACACAGAGTGGAGGTGATGGCATTTCCCAGAAGCAGGACAGGCCTTGGTGAGACAGTTACAATGGGGTGGTTGCGCTGCAAAAGCTTAGACCAACTCTGTTCTCTGACTAGCAACAGAAAAGCCTCTGATTGAACCAAACACGAATGTTGTCATTCTAGACTAGAGTAAAACCAAAACCAAACACTAGTATTCATAGAGTTTTCAAGTCTCCTACTCATCTCCAGTGGTTTTCCCATTTCTGCAGAAAAGATGCTGCTGCTGTTGAGGGGTCACACGGCAGAGATTCAGGCCTATCTCCAGAACTTCCTTACCCACCAGGAGATCCGCTTCCAGCAGCTCGGAATCTCCACCCTGTGCAGGCTGCGGGCAGGTGGGCCCTCCTGGGACGGGCTGGGCTTGCTGGCTGGGGGGGTGGGTGCTGTTAAACTAAAGGCTTTCTGTTCAGCA